TATGGAACAGAACTCCCAGAACAGTGCCGGGCCCACAGTAGATGTTTACTAAAAGTTTGGGAACTATTGTTGAAACGGAGAGACGAATGAAGCAAAGAACGGCTCCAGGGTCTGGGACGGCCTGAGGTCATCTGGAAGATGCTTCGTTCTGTCCCAGATTCACGGAAGCCCGCGACACGTCCAGAATTCTAGGAGTCCGGGCTCCCCTTCTCTTCCCCTGGGGAGAGAGGGAGAAAGTTGTGATGAGCCAAACAGACTGGCCCGGTTCCCGAGAGAGTAAAGGTGTCATCAATCTAAGGCTGGTCCCATAACCGATGTTTCAGACGTTATTGACTCTGTGTGGTTCCTGGCAAACAACTGACTGCCTACTTTAAGAGACAATATCACTAAGTGCTTTTTTTTAATGCAAAAAGAAAAATAAAAAAGAGCTACCTATTTTCCTCATTCCTCCAGGTGCCCAACCCGAATGGCTTGTTGGAGCGCATTTTCTGCATTCTTAATAGATAGCCAGCAGGAAATGCCTCCTATAGCCTGGGCTGGAAGGGTAGAAAGTAGCGAGGGGAGGGTACAAAATCCCCAGCCCTAGTTCCGCAAGCACTGAGCTGCTCCTAGGGGGTCCAGGCAACTCCGACTACCACTACTCACTTTTGCTCGGCTGTCGCATCTTGCTGTCTCCATCGATGGTTGGGAATTAAGGTAGGAGAAGCTGGCTATTTCTGGGGGGCCGAGGAGGGATGGGGAGTCAGCTGGGCAGGAATCAGGGCAAGGGGATGCTTTGCTCACAGCGATACAATCTGGTCCCCTTGGGGCTTTCGTTCCAAGTGATCGCTGTGACCACCTCTCCCACACCCCACCCCAAGCCCGAGGCAGTCACCGTGTCCTTGCAGGCAGACTGTGGTAGAGTTGAGGCCAGACTGCTGACACCGGATTCCATGTTAGAATATTTGTGCAGAAGTTGGGGCATCATTTTGAGGTCGAATTGGAGTGCTAGGTGTCCTTAATGTTTGCGCGTTGAGGAACGGTTGCAAGCTGCGGGGCACTCGTGGAATTGTGCTATTCTAACTGCACAGCTGGCAACTGGCAAACCTTGACCTGAGGGTTTTGTGTGCCAAGAGGCTTTTCCTATCATCCAGGGACTGGGACAGGATCACTTTCTCCCGGAAAGTCTCCCTCCCACCCCTGCTCCGCCTCGCGGCTATCTCCCCCCTCCCCCCGGTTCCAGCTTTGCAGCACCCTTTCTCCTAAGCCAGACCCCAGCCAATTCACGCCTGCATCGGGAGGCCCCTCGCAGAAGGCTCACTTGGGGATGGAACTGTCCACATTTCTGCAGAGGTGCAGGGAGACGCAGTTCTGCAAAGGCTGTAGCCAATAACGGTTCTCAGAATCTCAGGATCCCCGAGAGACACATCCCCTCCACTGAGGTCTCAGTGCAGCCTGGAGGATTGCTTGTGAGCGAGATCCAGAGAAGTAAGCCACGGTTCTCCTTTGGGAGGTGTGTCTTTGTGTTTGGGGAGAGGTAGCACTTGTACCCTAATCAGGATCCCGGTTGCCTAAGGTCTGATCCCTGAAGGGGATGGGGATGAGACATTGCCTCTGACTTTCACCCCCTCTAAACTTTCCTGGCTGTGGCCAGTGGCCTGGTCTCTGTGGTCCTTACCCAAGGAGGCTAGGGCATGCTCCATGGCCCAGATGTCCCAAGGGTCTGGCCGGCTGCCTTCGTTGTAGCTTCAGGGAGACTCCGCCAAAATAGATTTGCAAGCCGTGTCAAGCCTGAGCCTAGAGCACTGGCCACTGGCATCTCCAGGAGTAAAACCGTGAGTCTTGACAGAGCTGCTAAGCCTGGAGGGACTGGACGGGTGTTCTGTCTGCTTTCCCTGAAGGAAACCAACCATAAGCCTGATGGCTGGCTTATGGGCTGGTTCAGGGTTCCCTAGAGATCAGAAGTCAAGCCTTCACATTTGATACATGGGGACACTGAAGGTCATAGAGGGCTTCTTTTAGTCCCACCGGGTAGACAGCAATGGCAGGGAAGGGACAGACATCGAAGCCAGAGAGCCCTAGCTGTGAGGCATGGGCAGTTCATTGAACTTTCTGGTCCCTGATTTGCTCCCCTCTAAAATGGGGATAATAGTACCTATGTTGACAGTTGTAAAGATTGGAGAAAATATGCATAGAGCTTCTGGCACAGAGGCGAGATTTTATAAACCATAGCGTAGGAGAAAGGCTGGCTCCAACATTTATCATGACTTTATAATTTGTAACACCTCCACTTACTTTTTTCTGTTTTGACTGTGTTTGGGAAATAGATTTGACATACGACTGTGTAAATTTAAGGTGTTACGTGCTAATTTGATAAATTTATATATTGTAATGTGGTTGCCATTATGCTGATAATTAGCACCCCATCACCTCGCATAATTATCCTTTCTTTTTAGAAGCTGGAATAATTTAGTCCCAGTCTTTTTGCAAGTTGGAGGACTGTGCTACAGTAAAGTCCGCTCATAAGTGGTATTATAAAGTACGGTTGATCGGACGTTTGAACTACATGGGTTTTGAACTGCACAGGTCCACTTATGTGAATTTTTTTACACTGCCGTGCTGTAAATGTATGTTTTCTACCTTAGGATTTTCTTCACATTTCTTTTCTCTAGCTTGCGTTGTTGTAAGAATACAACGTATAAAATATAGACAAAATATATGTCAAATGACTATTTATGTTGTCGGTCAACAGTAGGGTATACGTAGTTATGCAGATTTTTGACTGTGTTCAAGGCCAGTTGTACTTGTCATCCTCTGACTCCTCATAATGTGCTCAAGGATAACACCTTTGCTTTTATTTCTACAGCTCCAAAAATCAGAATATATAGCGTGTGTGTGTGTTGTTTTTTTCACATCGAGGAATAACTTACCTTCTGTGAAATGCACAGATCTTGAGCGTACAACTTGATGAGTTTGGACAGAGGTGTCCATTCATGTATAACCTTCACCCTCCTCAAGGTGTAGGGCATTTCCAACACCGCGGGGAGTTCCGCACGCCCCTTCCCCATCTCCACCTCACAGCCAGCCACTGTTCTGATCTCTGGCCCCACAGGTTATTTGTGCCCCATGTAAGTGGAATCCTGTAATATGTGGTCTTTTGTGTGTGGCTTCCCCCACCCCGCGATCCAACATAATGTCTTTGTGATTTCTCCCTGCTGTTGTGTAGATGGGTAGTTTGTTCCTTTTTATTGCTGACTGACAGTCTATTACATGACAATGTCATAGCTAGTGTATTCATCTTCTAGATGATGGGCATTTGGCTCGTTCCCACTTTTTTGGCTACTTTAATCAGCTGCTGTGAACCACACGTAATGAGGCTTTGTGCGGACATATGTTTTTGTTTCTCTTGGTTGTATATGTCTAAAAGCAGGATTGCTGGGCCGTATAATAAGCATGCATTTCACTTGATAAGAACCTGCCCAACAGAGTTGTTGTTTGCATGCTTTTTGGAATAAGGATACAGTGGATTCGTTTTTCAGGTAGTGCCTGGTTATGCTTAGCATGGCTGTCAACCGGGGGAAAGAGGGTGATGTGCTCAGCAGAAGCTTCTCCGGACAGCAGCAGAACCCCGCTATGGCTGGGGCCAGAATGAGTCTGAAAGGAGACCTTTTCCGAAGGGTCCTCTGTTCGCTGCCAGATTCCTTCCCGACATTTCTAGCAGGACCATGAAAGAATGAGCTGCAGAATTCATCTCTTTCCAACCTCCTAATTTTACCCAAGAGGAATCAGAATCCCAGAGAGGCCACGTGTTTCCCCCAGAATCACACAGCTGGGGAAAACCTTGCATTGTGCTTTCTCTGCGTGACACGGAACTCAGGCATTCAGCCGTTGTTTACTGACTGCCTTATGCTAGGTGCTAGGGGTAGAGAAATGAATAAGAAATGGCCCCCACCCTCAAGACCTAGAGAGGAACAGAGACTATGAACCTCTAAACAGTTGCATTAGATTCCCAAGAATGAATTAGGGTGCCTTAAGCCAGAGCACACTACCATGTCTGGTCGGATGGCCAAAGGTAAAGAAAACTCTGGACAGGCTACTTCTCTTGAGTGCCCACTCTGTGCCCGGCCCTGACTTTGGTGCAAAAGGACAGACCCTGCTGTAAAGGAGCCTGCGGTTAGGGTTCTGTGTTGGAAGCCAAGTTTAAGGCAACTGGGCAAACAGCTGTCTTGCATCCACTCTGTCTCAGGCACTGTTCTAGATGCGGAGGCTATGGCAGTCAGCGGTATGACGATCTGACAATCTTTCAGGAACTTTTCACCAATATCGCCCTATATATTAGCACAGAGAATGTTTTTGAGATCTGAATTTGGTTCAGCATCTGTCTGGAGGCCTGAGGACTGGTGTCGTTGGCCATTGCCCGTTTTTAGCGTGGGGCGGGGTGGTGGGAGGGGGACACCGTCGGACACAGCCAACAAATGAGTGTAGGAATTTGATGGGTTTTATTCTCTCGCCCGCAAAAGGTCAGGATGGCATGGAGAGCAGTGTTTATTATGAAAAGTGAAGTACCCACTGGATTGCTTAGTCAAGTTCTCAGAGTGGGGGGCGGGGGGGCGCGGGGGGTGGTGGGTTGCAGGCCTTTGTCCAGGGGCATCTACATGCAGTTCTGGGTCAATCTTGGCCCATTTGGTTTTGGAGGTGGAAGGCATTTCCCCAAAAGGCAAGTTGCTCTTTTGTCCTCAATGGCCTTTTTTTTTTTTTTTTAAACTTCCCACTGTTCTTCTACCTGAGCGGCCACGTAATTCTCCCGTGTGGTTCTTGAGGGTCCCTTCGGCGCTTTGTAGAGCTCTGTCTTGTTCCCGGAATGCCAGTCAGACAAGGCTCCGCACCTGGTCCCCAGGCCAGCACCGCATGGCACGGCAGCGCCCCCAAAGTGCCTCTCATCCCAACCACAGCCAAGCCCCTTGGAAAAAAATGTGCCAGTGATGTTTTGTGTTTGATCCGCAGCTGTCCCCCACCTACCTGTGTTGCTCACCATGGAAGAAATGGAGAAGACTGGTATCCAGCTGCAGAGACCTATAAAGACAGAGTGGAATCCCCGGTGTGTCCTCTTCACCTATTTCCAAGGGGACATCGGCAGTGTGGTGGACGAACACTTCTCCAGAGCTCTGCGCAATGTCAGGAGCCCCGAGGGCTTGAGCCCCTCGACCCAGAGCCCAGACGTGATGCTGAGGAATGGTGAGCATGTTGGGAGGGAGGAGGCTGGAATTCTCGGTCAAGGCTACCACGGAAAGACCAGTTCTCTCCTGCCTTTGATGCGCTGAGACGTGTGTGTATTTGGGAAGGCAAGTCACACCGTGAGTGAGAAACTGCACCCATTTCTTGGAAGTTTAGTGTGAAAATCAACACCATAATCCAACTGGGTCACCTGTTTCGTGATTTCCTTAATTGCGTTCAATGCTGGGTTCACTGCTTAGTACATAATAAGAGAGCCATGACTGTTCGCTATTATCAGCCTTCGTCATTTATTTATTTATTTAAAAGATCTTTATTTATGTATTTATTTGTCAGAGATAGAGAGAGAGAGTATGCAAGCACGAGCAGGGGGAGTGGCAGGCAGAGGGCAAAGCAGGCTCCCCGCCTGCACGAGCCCGATGGGGGGCTCGATCCCAGGACCCCGCGATCATGACCTGAGTTGAAGACGCTTACCTGAATGAGCCACCCAGGTGTCCCAGCCTTTGTTATGTATTATTATGATTACTACTACTGGCCTGACCACATGTCCCCTGTAGGTGCACCCAGCCTCCCTTCAACTAATAGCAGATGACCTGGCGAGCGAGGGCAGGGCTCCGGAGGGGTCCATAAAGAGTCTCGGGGAGCATTTCTCTCCCCACCCTTAACAGCATTAGGACGTCAACTGCACACACTCTTTGGTAATTTAAAAATAAAAAATAAGCATTCTCGGGGCGCCTAGGTTGTTCAGTTGGTTAAGTGTCCTACTCCTTGTTTTGGCTCAGATTATGATCTCAGGGTCGTGAGAACAAGCCCCAAGTCAGGCTCTGTGCCCTGCGGGGAGTCGGCTTAAGACTCTCTCGCTCTCCCTCTGCCCTGCTCTCTAAAATAAATGAATAAATAAGCATTCTTCCATCTCCAAACAATTATTTCAAGAAAGATGAGTCCAGGAGTGCTCATCACAATACCCAGGGTTGGGGAAAACTATAAAATTAAGCTGGCAGGGCTGTAGTAGGACTTTCATGGACCCTAGATCCTTCTGGGCCTCTTCCTCAGTACAATTATGAAAAAAGACACATTGTGACTGCAGTGGTATAAAAACAACTTTAATTCAGGCTGGATTCTTTTAATGATTCATTGTTTTGTTATATTCATTTTTCTTCTAAGTTTAAAAGATGTTAAAACATTTCATGGGCTCCTAAAAGTATCCGTGGGCCCTAGGTACTGAACCTGCTGTGCCTCATGGAGAAGTCACCCTGCGAGATGGATGGGAGTCCGTCATATTGAAATGTGCAATAGACCGGGGTCTGGTTGATTTCAAGAACTCTCAGTTGTGGTTGCCCAGTACCCGTGTTGAATGCCCGGCTGCCACTGGAGTATGTACATGCCTCCAAATGGTTGTTCGCTTTATGCAAAGATGCCAAGTGGGCGGCATCTGCCTGTGGAGGACGATCTTACCTCTTTTCAGGAGCCATCACTCCAGCTTCGCTCTTTGGGCCTGAATGGGGAGTTGGTGTGTATATCCGATGTATTCGCCTTTGCAGAATTTACTTTTGTCCTAGAAATTATTTTTCCCATCAGGTGACATGATTTTCTGAGACTCTTGTGAGTTGAGCAAACATGTGGAAAGGGACGTGGTAACAGCGGCCACTAAAGGAAATGATGTAGAGTTTGCACTTGCAACGGGCACAACGTGGGTGGCTGGAGGGTGGGGAGGAGATGTCTAAGAGGGTAGTGAGTACTTCAGAGCAGGAGCAGCAATGACTGACTGAATCATTTGGGGAATTAACGTGTAGTATCAGCTGATAAACGGGATAAGTGGGTTTCAGAGGATCTAATCCGCTCCTTGGAAGAATCAGAATCCCAAGCTCTTCACAGGCATGGACTTTGGTTATGTGGCTTTGACTGAGTTCTGAACACACTGGCTTGGATTCATTATAATCACTCCCTTGTAAGTGCCGTCTACCTATAGTCCCTCACATCCTGTGTCCCACTTGCCTGATAAACCCCAGCCTGAAATAAAACCAACTCTTGGCCTATTGCCCCATTTGGTAGTGAGACTCAAAAATGGCACCCACGCGCACTCTGTCCTCTTCCTCTCTTGGTCTTTGGAACTCACTCCACTCAGGCTTTCATCCTTATGACTCTTTAACCACTCTCATTGAGGTTAGCCAGTGACCTCCAGCTGCCAAATCAATGGTCTTTCCCTGTCTCCATCTTGTTTTTTGATCCGTCGGCAACATTGGCTGCAGTGAGTGGCTCCTCCCTCTTAGAAATGCCTCCCTTGGGTGCCTGGGTGGCTCAGTTGGTTAAGCGGCTGCCTTCAGCTCTGGTCATGATCCCAGAGTCCTGGAATCGAGTCCTGTATCTGGCTCCCAGCTCTGCAGGGAGTCTGCTTCTCCCTCTGACCTTCTACTCTCTCGTGCTCTCTCTCGCTTTCTCTCTCAAATAAATAAATAAAATCTTAAAAGAAAAAAAAAGAAATGCCTCCTTCACTTGGATCTCATAACATCACGTTCTCTTGGTTTTCCTCCTTCCTCCCAGGTTACGACTCCTCAATCTTCTTTGCTAGACATCCTCTTCTCTTCAGCTTCTAAATGTTTGGAGTCCCCAGTGTTCAGGTCACAGACAATTTCTCTATCCACATTCACTCCCTAAGGGATCTCTTCTCTCTCTTGGTCTTTTTTTTTTTTAAGATTTTATTTATTTATTTGACACAGAGAGAGAGAGAGATTGATCACAAGTAGGCAGAGACAGGCAGAGAAAGGGGGGGAAGCAGGCTCCCTGCTGAGCAGAGAGCCTGATGTGGGGCTCGATCCCAGGACCCTGAGATCATGACCTGAGCCGAAGGCAGAGGCTTAACCCACTGAGCCACCCAGGAGCCCCTCTCTCTTGATCTTAAGTACCATCTGTATCAATTCCAAATGCATTACCTTCAGCCCAGACTGCATTTCAGTTCTGTCTATCCAGCTGCGTATTTGATCCCTTCACATGTCTACTAGGAATCACCAACAGCGAGGCTCAGATTGAGCTCTTACACTCCTTGACATGTTCTGTCCACTGTCTCCCCATCTCAATACATGGCAGCTGCATCCTTCCGGTTAACTGGAGTTATGTTTTGTTTTTTTTAAAGATTTTATTTATTTATTTGACAGACAGAGATCACAGGCAGGCAGAGAGGCAGGCAGAGAGAGAGGGGGAAGCAGGCTCCCTGCTGAGCAGAGAGCCGGATGTGGGGCTCGATCCCAAGACCCTGGGATCATGACCCGAGCCGAAGGCAGAGGCTTTAACCCACTGAGCCACCCAGGCGCCCCACTGGGAGTCATGTTTAACTTCTCTCTTTGCCCCCTACCCCATGCCCAGTTCTTTGAAAAATTCTGTCAGTTTTACCTTCAAAATATACCCATGTTCTTTTTTTTTAAGTTTTTTAAAGTTTTTTTTTAAGATTTTATTTATTTATTTGACAGAGAGATCACAAGTAGACAGAGAGGCAGGCAGAGAGAGAGGGGGCGAAGCAGGCTCCCTGCTGAGCAGAGAGCCTGATGCGGGGCTCCATCCCAGGACCCTGGGATCATGACCTGAGCCAAAGGCAGAGGCTTTAACCCACTGAGCCCACCCAGGCGCCCCAAAATATACCCATGTTTTGACCATGTCTGCCCCCCTCTGCTGCTATCATGTTGGTCCAGGAAGCTGTCATCTCACCCCTGGATTTTTTTTTAAGATTTTATTTATTTGACAGACAGAGACCACAAGTAGGCAGAGAGGCAGGCAGAGAGAGAGAGATAGGAGGAAGCACCCTACCTGCTGAGCAGAGAGCTCAATGCGGGGCTCGATCCCAGGACCCTGAGATCATGACCTGAGCTGAAGGCAGAGGCTTTAACCCACTGAGCCACCCAGGCGCCCCAATCTTAGCTTGCATCCTTGCTCCCCTTCTGTCTGTTCTCAAGATAGTCAGAATGGTATCCCTAAAAGGAAAGTCTCATCCTATATCTCTTCTGTTCAGAACCTTCCACTAGCTTCCTGTCTCACCTGGAATCAAATCCAAAGTCTTGCATGGGGCCTTGTTTTCATTTTGATTTCATATCCAGCCATCCCCACCTCATCTCATCCAATCTAGCCTCCTACTATTTGTAGAACACGCCAAGTACAGTTCTGCCTCAGGATCTTTGGAGCTCCCCATCCCTTTCCCTGAAATGCTCTTTCCCTAGATAACTGCATGACTTTCCCCTTTTCTCCATTCAGCTCTCCATCGGAATGTCTCCTCTCCAGCCAAGCCTTCTCTGCACAATCTGTTTAAAAAATAGAAATACCCTCCCCCTCATCACCCTCTGTCTTCTTACACTATTTTTATTTTATTTTATTTTATTTTATTTTAGTATATTATACATTTACGTGTTTTCTTCCTTGTCTCCTCCCATCCTCTAAACTCTGAATCACCTGGTAGCAGGGCCTCTGTGTTCGTTGCTACTTCCCAAGTCACATGGAAGGTGCCTGGTAAATATCGTCTGAATGAATGAAATCGTGATTCAGATGTCTGCCGTAGATGGAGTCACCGAGGAGAGTGGGGCATGTGGCTTTAGAACCAGCTCCACCATTTATTAATAACGTGATCTCAGGGCACACCCCTTCCTCTGTCCGTACCTCCGCTTCCTCCTCTCTATAGCTGAGTATTATTTAACTATAGGAGGAGTGTGTGAGATCGTGCGTGTCCACTGGCACATAGTGCCATGTAGGTGTTTGTTCTGTTTGTGTGGTCGTAGGAAATCTTGACGTGTTTTTGAGTGGCTAGAGCAATAGGGGGACCTGCATTCAAAGCACTAAGATCACAGAGCAACAGGCCCCTCCTGGAAGCCTACGCATTTTCTAGGGGCTTCTGCCATGTGGTGGCCATATGGTTTCCTATGCCTTCTGACTTCATTCTCTTCTGTGACATTCCCGTGCATGAAGGGAATTTGGACGTGGCCCTGCTTCTTGCCCAAGCCAACTTTCCCAGGCCAAACAGACAGGCAGCCGTCTTCTCCACTTACTCTGCGGGTGGCATTTACCCTGTGAAAATCTCCCCAGTCCCTTGACTGTGAAGATGTCTTGCTCACAGAGTGCGGGGCAGGTGGGGCGAAGTTTGGTCCAGCTGACTGAGTAGAGGAAGTCCTGTCTTCCTCAAGGCCTCTCAGCATGGTTAAGAGTCAATCTCTCATAAGTTCTGTTGCCTCACCGGAGGCCCCGTGAAAGAAGGCCTGTCCCCCAGCGGTTCCCACAAGATGGGTTATGTGAGAGCCCCACAGCTTCGGAAATGGTGGGAAATCCATGAAGTGGCCTTTCATTACTGACCGTTAGCAGCCTCTCTGTCCCTGCAGGCCAGCCCCAGGCCGCCAAGCCCTGGCTGAACCGTGTGCCCAACAGAACAGGCCCCCATTCACAGGCTCCCGTTATGACTCGGCCACTTTCTAAGGGCGCTCTGTCAAGCCAAATATGCAAAGCCCAAATACAGAGGCCCATGTGGCTAGGAAATGCCATCGAATTTCCTGGCTGTTTTCCCCAAATCCAAATTATTTTTTTATTTACTTATGTATATTTCACACTGGCTGGACTTTAGAAAACACAGGCTGAAGGCATTTTTGAATTATCTGCCTTTGAAAAGGACGTGGAGGATTTCAGAGTAGGTAACCAGAGAAGCTTCAGAAGGCGGAGGACAGGGTCTTCCGGCCCCAGGAAAGGGCTGCTGTGAGAAGGTGGGTGAGTGTGTTCCTGAGCACCTAGAAGGACTTTTGCTAAGGGTAACAATTATGGAGCACGTCTTGTGTGTGGGACGCTTTGCTGGGGGCTCCCACATGGATGAGCTCATTGAATCCTCACACCAGCTGTTGCTTAACTTGCATTGTGCCCATTATCTTGGGAAGAAAACTGAGGCTAGCCAGTTCGACTCCGATCCTGAGCTCTCAGCCACTCTAAAAAACTGCCCGCGTTCTGTGTTTCATCTTCATTTCCACCCAGGAAAAGGCTCTGGATAATCAGCAAACGACTGGGTACCCCGGGAAGACGATATAAAGGAGGGAGTGGGACCCAGCAGGGCGCCCTAGCACCCCGGAACAGGACTGTGTCCTGTAAGCTGTCCTTCTGTCCCTGGTGTTGTTTCAACCTCAGCGAATACAAACAATATCCTCTTTGTTTCTGGGGTGAATGAATAAGAGGCCGGTGCCACTAGCCAAGAAGGCAGAGAAGGGAGAGTCAGTGCGTACAGATCAGACAAGCCGAAGGTTGGACTATCACGGTGCAAGAAGTGAGTGTTCGCAGGGTGCTTGGTTTTCCCTTCCTCATAAAGCAGGATTTGTATTAAAGGCAGAGACAGAGGAAGGGGAGGAGGACGAGAAGGAAGGATGGGTGGAAGGAAAGCCGGCCGTTACGGATTGGTCTTTTACAACCGTGACTCTGATCTAATGAGTCAAGGGGCTTCCTCAGTTTTTATTAAAAAAAATGTTTTAATCACAAAGGTACTGTTATTTTTTGAAAATTAGAAAACAAAGACAAGCATTCAGGACAGAAGCACGGGTGCTTATGCATACATGCTGAGTTTTATACCATGACATCATTTTGTACATAACTCGTGTGTGTGTGTGTGTGTATATATACATACACACACTTGTATATATACATGTAAATATCCCAGGACACAGAGATCATGATCTGAGCCGAAGGCAGCTGCTTGACTGACTGAGTCCCCCCCAGGCACCCCTACAACATCATTTTAATGGCTCCAGCGTATCCTTTTTATAGATGTACCAAATCTATTATAATTTTTGGACATCAGATTGTTACCAATTTGTCACTATATTATAAATATCCTTTTGAATATCCTCATAGCTACATTTTTGCACACATCCTTGATTATATCCCTAAATCGTTATAAGGGGAATTATTGGATCAAAGGGTGCATACCAGCTGCCCCCAGAAACAGCCCAGACGCAGGAGTGTGTGAGAGCACGCAGCGCGCGCACTGCCTTCTTTGCAATACCTGGGAGACAGAGCTGCTAAGGGTACAAGTTTTGGAATCAGGCAGCCGGAGCGTTTGCTGGCTGCGTTGCGTGGCCTTGGGCAAGTCACCTTAGCCACTCCAAGTCTTTATTTTGTCGGCTGGGTCGCTGTGAGGATCACGGGAGCTCAGGTGGGCAGAGCACTAAGCCAAGCGCCCGGCCCGGGATAAGTGCTCAGTAAACAAAACTCTTGTGGATTTGCAATCGCTCCTACCCGCCTCTGGTGTATCATTTCCTAGAAATGGACACGCACTGAGCAGTGGCTTCTGAAAATTCTCTTCCATGCCATCTACCCTCCACATCAGCCTTCAAGGGCTGCTGTGGCTGTGGGCTCTTGTGCCCTGGACTCTCCCCTTCCCCAGCACTCTCTCTTTTTTTTTAAGATTTTATTTATTTATTTGACAGCGAGAGAGATCACAAGTAGACAGAGAGGCCAGCAGAGAGAGAGGGGGAAGCAGGCTCCCTGTCCCAAGACCCTGAGATCGTGACCTGAGCCGAAAGCAGAGGCTTTAACCCACTGAGCCACCCAGGTGCCCCTCCCCAGCACTCTCTTGAGGCTAGGATGGGACTGGGAGGCATGGTCTAGATGCTCAGAGCTGGGAGCGTTTGGGATGGAAGCCTTTTTTATTCCACTTGAAAGGAAAATCCAGGCTGTCCTGAGTGTCCCAGAACTAAAATGTTCCTGGACTGGTCTCCATTCATTCATGTAGTTTGGGGTTTGATAAAGCAGCAGTCTTCCCTGGGGCTCCCTCCCTCTCCTCTCTGGAGGTAACTAAGAGTGGGGGACCTCGGGTAAGAAAGTGTCTCCAAGGTCACTTCTAACAGCGGCTGCAGCCATCTTGAGCCAGTCAGGGCTGTGGCTTAGAATGCCTTCACGGTTCACAGGGTAGGGGAGCACAGCTGCCGGGAAGAGACCCCCCCCAAAATTCAGGGTCTCCACTCCATGAGGCACCAACATCCAAGTCTCCTCTGGAAAGATGACTTTCCTCAAGTCATCCAAGGCCCACCATGGGGTTGCTGTGAATTTGGGATGTGGGACACTGCCTCCTTCATGTTGCCATCCCAGCTGTGCTCTGGTGCACTCAGTGACCAGATGGACCTTGGACAGTGGCACACCACCCACTCCCTGAACGTTTTGATTGGAAAATTCTGGAAGGCTTAAAAAAAGAAAAGAAAAAAGAAAATTCTGGAAAGGAAGCAGTTAAATATTCAAAAGCCACTGTCCATTTCAAGCATTTGGTCTCTAGGTCGTATATCAGAGATCTGTAAGGCCAGTTTGGATGGCAACTGCCCGCTTGTGGGGCTACACATTGTTTCTAACTTGTGCTCAGAACATGCAGAGTACTCTTACTCAACGTGAAGCATGCCTAGTGATTATACTAAGGCAGCTTAACCACTCATTTTGTGCTACACAGTGGCCTGCATGGCTACCGCTCTGCAGATACCAATTTTCAAAAGTAGCATTCATCACCAAAGAACAAATCTTAAGATGTTTTCTTGCCCTTGGTTTCATCAAGAGAGGCCAACCATCGCTCCTTACTCATTGCGAGGGATGTGAAATGCTGGGTAGAATGTGCATGTCACGTAGGTTAGGACTTCTTTTACTCTCATCTGGATTACACGAAAAGCTATGATAGGAGGGCAGGTGTGTGGGAGGGGGACGTGCTTCAGTGTCACTGTGCAGATCACTCAAGATGTGTTTATCTTGTACAAAATCAAGGGAAGTGGAACATTGGGAGAGCTGGGAGAGGCACACGTGGGGTGGAGGGTAGGGGGGAAGGGAACCAGACAGTTCTCCAGCCCTCCAGTCTTCCTTTGTCTCCACGCCCACGCCCCCCTTCATTATCTTCCATAGATGAGAGGCTCTAGGCTTTAAGCACCATCTGCCAGCGCTCCCTCCCTCCTCCCCTCTTGCCTGAGTGGGTGTTGCGAATGGGGAAAACATCCATCCATGTCACAAGCTGCCCTAGACTTGTTGAAGACTCGGTTTCAGCTGCTACCCTAGGCACAATGAGAATAGTATCTCTGAGATCAGAAGAGACTCCATGCCCCCTTGCTAGTGCGCAAGAACCTTGCGAGAAGAAACTGAGTCACTACTTTGACCTCGAGCATTTTGCTTTTGCAGGAAGAGGTCCAAGCACTCACTTCCTTACCCTGACTAATCTGCTTTGCTAATTTGGCCAGTGCCCCTGGTCCCTCTAGAAAATGGGGTTTCGACCCCTAGACTTGTATGAATGAGTTATACACGGGCAAGCGTTAAACCCTTTATAAAGTTCTAGTTGGTGTATTCAAACCACGAGCTATAAAATCAAACCAACCAGCAACAACCAAACACAAATCACCTTTCTTTTTCTTTTCCTTCTTTCCTTCCTTCCTTCCTCCCTCCCTCCCTTTCCAAATCACCTTTTTAATCAAGCAATTTTACTTCTAGAAGTTTCCTTGAGGGGCTTGTTGGACATGGGTGCAAAGATGTTCATCACAGTGTTGTTAATTTAACTAAACACTGTGCTGCTGCTGGCTCTACTCGTTGCCATGGGCGGATATCTGTGATATTTTAATGACGCCAAAGCAGCCTTAAAAATCCTATGTGATGTGAAAACCATGTGGACCTAAATAGAAGCAAATCCTAGAGAGAAGTATGCCTAAAGGGAGACAATGGTGGTCTCTGGGTATTGCAGTCAAGAGTGGGGTTTGTTTTCTCTTTTGTTTTGGAGGGGTCTTTCTCTCTCTCTCTCTCTCTCTCTCTCTCTCTTTTTTTTTTTACTTTTTCTACACATTAAAAAAGAGTCTGTAGTAACCAGAAAAAATGCTGCTATTTCCATTTTGAAAACAATAAGCCCCTAACGTCTTATCAATCTTTCCTTCCCAGATAGTGACATGCCTCCAAATCAGTGGCGTTTCTCTTCCCAGTGGACAAAGCCAGAGCCAGAAGCATCTTTTGCTTATGGTGCCGCCAACTGCAGCTTGAATGGGGCCAGTGTCCCGGTGCCGGATCAGTACCCAGTGCCCCTGGCGGGGATCCCCTCCGATCCGTCTGACGAGCTGTGGCAGTACCCCTTCCTGGGTAGCCCTAGCTCCTCAGAGCCTGGCTACTCTCATGCCTACTCCAGTGGGCACATGGTTCTAGAACCCCAGTCCGATGGAAAATATGAGCCCTTTCTAAGTCTACTCCAGCAAGACCGACACCTCGCCCATCCTCAGGAATCCACCGTGTGGGAGGACTACAGCTCTGCCCAGGTAGCGGGAGGCCCCGGAGCGCTCTGCGACTTGCCTCCCAGCTCAGCCCACGGTAAGGAAATTGCTTCCAGATACTTGGAGGACCGCCTCCGATTGGCTGTCGTCAAGAGCGAGTTGGCCACGAGGTGGGGTGCCAAGGCTAATTGCTCCCTCTCCAGACATGGGGCTTTGGAGGGTTGGAGTGTTCTGCTGCAGTGTTCCGTAGACTAACGATTCAGGGTTAGTTGGCCCCGAATAGTCACCCCAGTCTGTTGACTTGGACTTAGTCTAGAAAAAGGATTTAGGCAGTATACCAACCATCTGCTCCAAGCATTAAAATTCAAAGCCACCGTAGAGGCAGTCCCATGGGTGCCTGGAGACGCCACAGTGCCTGGCTGTCTGTGGCTCATGCCTGTGCCCTGGGCCCCTCCTGCTCGATCTCCCTCGGGCGCCTGTGCCCTGGCCACCACCCCTCCCGCTGAACTAACCCCCACCCCCTCAAGGCTCATTCACTTCTTCATTCACTCACTTACCCAACCAATATTTAATTATTGCCTACTAGATGCCAAATGCCTACCAAAAAAACAAGACTCCCTTCTTTGTGAAAGGCTGGGGGACAACTGGCCTGAAGTACACTTTCACCGACAGAACAACCCAATCTACAAAATCTGCCTTTCCTATGAAATCTTTGTAATGATATATATTTGATGGTTTCATGGGGCCAAGTCCGCATCCTCTGGCATTCCATACTCTGGACAAATTTTCACACGTATCTGTAGTTGTAGTGTTCCATGCCTGAAAGAAATTGCTAGAAGTTGCCTTTACGCGAAACTAAATATACAGTACACAAAGGGCCTGTTCAGTGTAGCCTACCTAAGTCAGGCACCGTGTTCCAGCCTAATGTCAAAAACAAACTTCCCATTAAAATACCACTCTTGTCATTTCCAGAGTTTGATTCGGAATGGACTTCAAGAGTAAATCATAAAAATGTCATGCTTGGGAAACCCATGACAATTCCCACCCCTGTACTCTTTTTCAAAAATCTGTTCCTACTGGATTCAGAGGAAAAATTAGGCCAGCCGTGTTTCCATATATGTCTGTGCATACACACAGCAGAGCCCTGTTTCAACAGTTGGTTAGAACACAGATGGCTCAAATCCTCACCTCCCAAACATAATGACTATACAGTTCAAACCCAATGCAGCAAATATTTAGTGAACATCTACTATACGCCAGGCACATTATGGCAAAATTATGAAGCAGGCGTGATCCTATTTCTGAAACTTCTAGACACATTCTGAAATGTTTATCACCAAGTCTGACTACCGAGAACTTCACGCTCTCCTACTAACACTGACGTCAGTTGTATTCATGGGCCGGTTGGTCTGGGATCTGTTGGGGAAGTCAGGAACGCTGCCTGGACGATGGGAATGAGACCCCAAGGTACCTTAAAAACAGAAACTTCTCTGTTTTTGTACCATCTGATGAGAGGAAATATGCCCCGTGTCTATCAACTGAGGGGTGGGGGGCAGCTGGGTGGTGGCTCAGTCAGTCCAGGGTCCTGAGATCGAGTCCCGCATCGGCCTCCTTGCTCAGCAGGGAGTCTGCTTCTCCCTCTCCACCTCTCCCCCTGCTCATGTTCACGCTCTCTCTTTCTCTCGAATAAAAAAATAAATAATCTTTAGAAATAAACTGAGGGTCAGGCATTTGGAGTCCCTGGAGATTTCTAATCGTGTTCCTCCTTTCTAGAAAAGAAAACCTATTTTCCCCCTGATGGTGGACCCGGCAATGCCAGCTTTGCAAGTGAAAGTGGGTGTGGGGTTCTGCCTTTGATACTTTGTCCCTATAGCTTGGGAACACAACTTGAGGAGAAGCTCATAGTGTGAAAACCAGGCTCTTCAACTGGTTAAGACCCCAATTTCTATTACTTAGTATTTTCATAGTTGCAATTTGTTTCATCTTAGTCTCAAAGAGCCCATGTACTTGGTGCCTTGTAAAATGTCTTGCCCTTTTTTTTTTTTTTCTTTACCATTTTCTCATTTTGCGATCTGAGCAGCTCTATGGAGTTTTTACCTGGGCAGGATTTAACCCAGATGACTCAGCGAAATGAACAAATTCATGCAGATTAGTTTGCTTACCCCAGATGTTGAGTTTTCAGCCCAGCACAGAGGGCCACCCCAGAACTCCGCAGCCCAGGAAAATGCCATCTGAGGCTAAAGGCCAGGACTCTGGGCTCCATATTCAATTTGAAAGTGGTGTTAGTAGGAACTTCCAAATGGGAATGTGGTTCTAATCTGGGTTCATGATGTACTAGTCTCAGAAACTTGGGCATGTTTCTTTAACCTCTCCGTTCCTCAGTTGGCTCATTTGTAAAATGAGGATTAAGATAGTGTGCCCCCCGTGTAAATGCTTAGGATCTATATTCCAATGTTAATTAGCCACAGTATGCCATTAAAAGTAAACCACCAAGCACACAGAGTCAGACTGGCACACAATAAGCCATCAAAAAGTGACATTGGGGAGGAGGGTATCTTGTATGCCTCAGGCTGCTCTGGGCTACGGGCATTGGGAAAGCAAGAGCAGCACCATGGCTGCCATGGCCGCCATCTCAAATGCTTTACCTTCTAGTGTGAAGGTTGGGGGAGGGCAGTAGTAGATCTCACTAGAATGTTAGCTTCTTAAGAGCCAAGGCACTGAGAGGTGTGTACCCACATCCCAGCATCTGCAACAGAGCCCAGCACAGAGGGGAATACGTATTTGTTGAAGGGATGAAGGAGAGAGTGCTGGAAACAATAGAACGTTGAAGAAGGAAATAGTAAAAATACATCTTCGACACGGTACAGATTATTTTGTTTGAAGCCCTTGTGTAAGACAGACCAACGGACAAACCATAAGTCACCGTCGGTGATTAATTGGCCATGGCCAAGAGAAGAGTTGGATTTAGGGCTGGTTCAAGAGCTTTAGCGTGACTGAGTCATGCTTCACACCAATCTCTACCTGAGAGGATGAGTTCTGCTAGCCTCCTAATTAATGAAAGTCAGGATTATAAAGTCTCCTCTAAGTACTTGTGAATAGGTTGTACATTTTTAAATGTTAAGCCTTAGAATTACTGAAAACTTGATGCCTGAAATTGTTCCTAGGCCAAAAATAGCAGCAACAACATGTATGGGTGTGGCCTATGGGCCAGATCCCATACCCGCCGTCCTGCTCCGTGCCCACAGTGCCCTTGTGAATTGTGTATGTGCTTATCTTTGGTGCCTTACACAACAGGTCTTCGGGGAATAGAGATTGAATGAATATTCTCATTTTGTAGATGAGGAGACAGAGTTTCAAAGAGGTGACAGGACTTGCCCTAAGATCACACAGCAGCAGGTGGCAGAGGTACACCTCTCTTTGCTCTCCGTCTTAAAGCCATCCTCAATCATAAATGACAGTACACGTAAATCCTGAAAAACAATTCCAAGTTCAATCAAGTGTACCGCAGTGAGAATTGGCAACTGGTAAGATCGTTTCACTGCCTATGGGTTCCCTGACTATCTGTGGCCGGGACACTGTCCTAGAATAAGGGGAGGGAATGCTGGGAAAGCGGGCACATGAACAACAGTACCTTGGGCGAAGGTCAAGGGGATGGACTTCCCGAGCAGAGAGCAGTTGAGGGGAGATGGGGAGTGGGTACTTGGCTATGCCAACTGTCCCAAGTCAGCTGTCCCACCCCTGTGGCTCTGGGCAGAGGGAGGCAGCAGGGCACGGGGACTGGGAAGGGGGCCACTTCTGGGCGCCCCAGCAAATCCCCTGCTCTTCAAGTTCCCAGATCTTGGCTGATGGTGAGCACCACAGGAGAGCTTGGGAAAGGCACAGATTGCGCATTCTCACTTCTGATAGATTTGGCACAGAGCTCCATTGCCTCTAGACGTTTGATTCTTTGTATATTTTTTACGAGCCTTTATCAGAGTGAACTGGATGACTCTTTCAGTAGGAATCAGTAGTTCCAAAAGATCTCCTGTGTGAGGTGCCAGATAAAGATTGGTCAAAAGAAGGAAGGTCAAGTCTCCTCGTCCCCCTCTGATATGGGCTCAGTCCCCTCCTGCTAGCCGAGGCAAGTTACTTAACCTCCCTAAACCTCCCTCAGCAACTTTTCTCCACACCCCCCTCCACAACCATTGCCTTCACCTGCCAAAGCCTCCATCCCGCATGAACCTCGCTGGCTCCCTTCTGTGCCTCACGCCAACCGAACAGCCCTTGGGAAGATCACCCGCCCAGCTGTTTGTACTTGCGACTCCTGACCTCAGACCTCAGCTGGGCCCTCAGGAAACCCACGACTGCCATACTTGCCCACTTTTCAACCCCAGATTCGCACCCTCAGCTGATGCTCTTGCCGCAGAGTTGATGGAGAAAACAGAGGTCATCTGATTAGTACTCTTCTGACTCCCCACAAACACACCTGTGAATCGACGTGCACCTGTGTCCTCAGTCTCCTTTTGGACCCGTTCAATGTTACCGTGTTCCCTCCTCCTAGCCAATGTCTGTGCTGCCACGTGGCCCTTCTCTGGTCTCGGTGACCTTCCCCACGAGGCTATCCTCACCCTCCCCCATCATCATTTGATCTCTTCATCTTTGTTTGATCATTCCCATTATCATACAGATAGAAGGCAAATATTAGAGCCCCGCTTTTTTAATTAAAGATTTTATTTATTTATTTATTTGACAGAGAGGCAGAGAGAGACAGCGAGAGGGGAACACAAGCAGGGAAACAGGAAAGGGAGAAGCAGGCTTCCCCGCCAAGCAGGGAGCCTGACGTGGGGCTCAATCCCAGGAGCCTGGGATCGTGACCTGAGCCAAAGGGTAGTGGAGGTTGTTGGACTGGAGGATTAGGTTATGGAAACAGGTAGCGCTAAGACTACATATGCCACTGACATGGGAGGTGGTGGGTGGAGAGTAGATGTTTGAAATTGAAATGGCAAGGGTGCCACGTGTTTGGGCTGTCACTCTGCCGTAGGAATGGCTGGCTGGGGTAGAAGGAAGTAAAAGGTCATTCGAGATGAGAATGGTAAGATTCACTGAAGTGAAGCAAAAGAGGAACCGATAGCTACCTATAAGGTAGCTACTATTTGGGCGCCTGGGTGGCTCAGTGGGTTGAGCCGCTGCCTTCGGCTCAGGTCATGATCTCAGGGTCCTGGAATCGAGTCCCGCATCGGGCTCTCTGCTCAGCAGGGAGCCTGCTTCCCTTCCTCTCTCTCTGCCTGCCTCTCTGCCTACTTGTGATCTCTATCTGTCAAATAAATAAATAAAATCTTTAAAAAAAAAAAAAAGGTAGCTACTATTTTTATCCTTATTCACAGGACAGGAAAATTGAGGTTTAGGGAGGTTAAATAATTAGCCCAAAGTCAAGGTCAGTGAGTACCAGAGTCCACTTTCTCTGACCTCCAAGTCCTTGGCCTTCCCTACGATGCCAATTCTACTCTACTACATAAAATGACAGTGCCTCTTTTTTTAAGTCTATATAAAGATTTTATTCATTTGAGAGAAAGAGAGAGCCTGTGTAAATGTTGGGGGAAGGGGCAGTGGGAGAGGGAGAGAGAGAATCTCAAGCAGACTCCCTATGAGCACTGGGCTTCCTCTCCCAACCCCAAAATCAGGACCTGAGCTGAAACCAAGTGTCGGAGGCTTAACCGACTGAGCCACCCAGGCGCCCTGAAGACCCTGCCTCTTTAACAAAATAGTAGCTAACATTGGTTGAGCATATATGTGCCAGGCCCTGTTTGAAGGGCTTTCCGTGTGTTTAATTCACGTGCACCTTCCCAGAATCTTGGAAGGTACATTAGCAGGCTCGTTTAACAGGTGAAAATGTGGGGCTCAGAGAGACTAGGGAACTCTGCCTAAGGTCACACAACGAGGCAGCGGTGGGGTCGGGATTCAGATGGCTTCTTCCTCATCGTGCTTATCCTGTTTTCCAGAAAGCCAGTCGCCGGAGAGAAGAAATGTGTTCTTTTACTGAACCTCAGTCTGAAGAAGAGAATTCCTTTTCCCAAACCTGCTCATGATTTTCTACTGTGAATCCAGAGTCTAGAGATGGCAGCGTCCTTAGTCTTTCCATCACTAAAGAGCATCGAGCCAAGAGCACATCGCTGTTCCCCTTAAAATCCGACCTTCTCTTTGGCACCTACATCCTGTGGCGGGAGTTTTCACACTTTAGTGACTCACCAACACATGGAACCGTGAAAAGAGCGGTTCAGGGATGAGAACCGTCGCGGCCCCCCCGCCTGCCTCTCCCACCTTCCCTGTACCTGCTCCCCTCCTTAGAAATCAGTCCCCTTACCCTCTACCAGCAGGGTTTTTCAAACCAAGACTGACCCTGGGGTGTCCTGTGGGGTGTGGTCCCAATTTGCCCACTGAACAGAGTATATAGCAGGAACGGCGTGCAGCTTTCTAGCCTTAACCCAGACCCTGGCCAGCTGCGCTCCTGCCTCTGCCAAAGGCAGAATGAAAACGGGGTGGGCAAGACCCATTGAGGAAGTTGAGGCTGGGCATTGCCTGCATCCTCAGAATCCAGAAGGAAGCTGAGAAGGTTTGGGAAGGCTCTGGTGAATGAAGTTTTTTGCTTGGGTTTTTTATACCTCCGTTTTTAAAAAAAAAAAAAAAAAAAAAAGTGATTCCAAATGGGAGTTGTTGAGAAACCTGAGAACGAACGTATTGGAAATTAGTTAGCAGACTGCCCCGTTCCAGACTGGGCCTCGACTAAGTTCTGTGCCAAGAGCATTTCTTAGTTGCAGTTCCCCGAGTTTCTTTCTGCCCTCACTTTGAGGCTGGGGACACTGGCATCACCCCCCCACCACCACCACAGGTGTTAAGCTGGACCCTGGTGACACCTTCCAGCCACCCCCAGGGGCCCACCTGGCTTGCACAAACAATGAAGCCTTCCCCTTAGCTCTTTCAGTGTCAGTGACAAGGTCTCCCTATCATACTACTTATTGAGGGTTAACGCCAATGTGACTCTTGGATCTTTTTCCTCCCATCTGCTGTGTAAATAAAGACCACAGATCTTGTATGAGTGAATGTGTGACCTTGGCAGTGTAATACAGTAACTGTCTCGAGACTACGTTTTTTCCGATGTGGTACATATGTTTCCTAGATTTAGTGAGAGAAAAGATACTTAGCTAATACAGTTTCTCTCGGAGTTCTTTACCTTCAAAAGCCATGTTCTTTTTTAGGTGATGGTTGGAGAAATTCGGGGTGGGGGCTGGTCCTAGCGCTTGTGATGTGTAATTATACAAGTGTGTGCTTCTCTCGGCTGCCGCTGGAAAGATTAATCTGTGCTCAAAGATAATATGTACCATCAGGATTGAACTCTTAATATGCTATTTGGGGGAAAAGAAGAAATGATTCCAAGAAGGCTGGCATCTTCCGCAGCCTGGTAAAATCTGATAACATTTCCTTGCAGATTCCGAAGCTCTCTCTTGGATGAAGCTGAAAGCTGTAATTCATTTCCCCACAGTAATAAAGAGGGAAGCAAGGTCTCCTGCCTCTGAGAGACCCCTGCCCTTCCAGCATACACCAGTAAATCCCCACCCAGATCAACTCCTGCTTCATCCTGGACTTAGACTTCTGGCTTTCTCTACGCATCCTTTGTTTCCTTTCCCACCTCACTTCCAAAAAGTTGACTCGCAAAGCATTTCTTTGACTCACTTTTGGCATTTTACTCTTGGAATTAAAAATTAGCATGCAGGGGCACCTGGGTGGCTCAGTGGATTAAGCCGCTGCCTTCAGCTCAGGTCATGATCTCAGGGTCCTGGGATCGAGTCCCGCATCGGGCTCTCTGCTCAGCGGGGTGCCTGCTTCCCTCTCTCTCTCTCTCTGCCTGCCTCTCTGTCTACTTGTGATCTCTCTCTGTCAAATAAATGAATAAAATTAAAAAAAAAAAGAAAATTTAAAAAATTAGCATGCAAAGTTGGGGTGGCTGGCCCTGTGTGTTGTCTGGGGGGTTCATCTACACTCCTCGTTGATAATCTTGTGAGATGCTAGTTTGGGGGTGAAGGGTGTAGAATTAGCAGATGGGTTCTTTCTCTACAATTTTGGGGAATGGGCAAGTGACATGGTTGACTGACACTTCAGCTGCTACCCCAAACAAACAAAAACAAAAAACCAAGAAAAAGGTGACAACTTCCTTTTTCTAGTAGCAAAGACCATCTTAAGGATTCCAAGTAAGAGGGGTACCTGGCTGGCTCAGTCGGAAAGCCTGTGACTCTTCATCTCAAGGTTGTGAGTTGGAGCCCCATGTTGGGTGTAGAGATTACTTTAAAAAAATAATAGGGGCGCCTGGGTGGCTCAGTGGGTTAAAGCCTCTGCCTTTAACCATGATCCCAGGGTCCTGGGATCGAGTCCCGCATCAGGCTCTCTGCTCAGCAGGGAGCCTGCTTCCCTTCCTCTCTCTGCCTGCCTCTCTGCCTACCTGTGATCTCTGTCAAATAAATAAATAAAATCTTTAAAAAAATAATAATAAAATCTTAAAAAAAAAAAAGTTCCAAGTAAGAATGTTTACATATCCAGTTGAGACTGGTGCTGGAGCGCTCTTCCATTGTACAAATGAGCATTGTGGGTAGTACTGGAAATAAAGTCATCTCCACAAATAAATGCTAACTAGAATATCGTTCTCTCTTCCCCACAAACACGATTTCTGCCCTTTCCATAATGGTTTCCCTAGCTTGATATAATGAATTGAAAACAATTTAGTAAACCATTTGTATCTTCCACATGTGCAGTTAATAATGCAATGGCCCATCTCAATGCCTTTACTGTGTAAGACTTTAAAACTACGTCGCTGTGAATTTTTACACATTAGTGGGAATGAAGTGGGCTCTCGCTTTTTTATAAGGCTTATAGTTTTATCGTTATTTTTAAATAAATTTAATTAAGATTAAGTTAAGCCTCAAAGAGCAGTCTGGGTTTTTTTTTTTTTTTTCTTTTTATTATTAGGCTTTGACGCAAGTCGAGTCTATTTATAGCAGTGATGGTTACTTTTTTGGTGAAAACGGTGACCCTCCACTAATCTTTCCAAATGAGCAGACTTTTTGGGGCGGGAGGGGGGTAAGATTTTATTTATT